TGGCGACAGTATTAGGTATCTCGCTGGTTTGATTATCCCTCGGAAGGGCGTAGATTAAACTGTCGTGGCTAAGAATAAACAGGGAGTCCACTGGAGCTTCGAAATCTAAGAGTCCCTGGTTGTTGCTAGAGCTATGTTTGTAGTGGTTGGTGTGTGGGAGCGGAATAAGGTGAGGGTCATAAGATACAATCATTTGGTTGGATAGTTTGTCCTCCGCTGATAATTGCAGATCTAGCGTCTTATTACCTAACTTAAAGCGGTTCTATGGGCTTAAACTCAGTGAAAGCTACAGCTCCATAATCTGTGTGGTTTATATTTCTGTAAATAAACAGGGTTGTACCATGGTACACTTTATGGATGGTATTGTCAGTATAACCTGTATCTTTATTGATTATTGATCAGATATACACTTGTTCTTTAATTGGATTGATATTTGATCCTGTATTGGACAGTCAGACTGTGGAATATGACGGGCCTTTAGCTCGTGTTTCTAGTGTTCCATGTTGTTTACGAACCACGAGGAATATGAGTCAAAATGTGGATTTCTTAAGAGGGTTGGGCCAGGAGCTTTTAGTTGGATTCAACTGCTGGATATGGATCATGTTACCGTTTAGTCTCCACTTCAGAACCAAAATGGAATGTTCATATTTTTACTTTTTTCTCAATAATTTCTTAACTTAAATGATTGCTAGAAGTACCTGGCCTGAACATTGAACATGTTATAGCCACCATTCTTACTTGGAATACAGGGATGTAGGCTTGTTTGCTGTCACCAATGTATTCTTCCCGGTTCCATCGCTGCTTGGCAGCTTTATTCTACATTTCTACTGGGTTATTCTGGTAGATGTACAACAAGAATGAAGGCAAGTAAACACCTCATGGACCTTCTAACCTGGCTGGTCAATGGGTTATTGAAGTTGGTTTACAACAAGGCAATTTAAAAGAGTTTATATGGTCAACTTTTACCTTATCTAGTACCCTTCCCTTGCTCTCGCTTCAGAAGCTCATTGTCACTAAAACTTCGGGGATCAGACTGAGAAGAGGGTTCATGTTCTCTGACTACCTCACGTGGGTTAAAGTGGCTTAGGTGGGATAATGGAGTGTGTATGGTCTGAGCTCTGATGCTCGCTGTGATGCCTCCGGTATAAACTAGCTTGTCTGTGTGTTTGTTGTGTCGCTAATAGGTATGTGCTAGTTGAATTGTTTTCCTCAAGTAATGTCAGTGGTAGTTTTCTCAACACCAACTATTGTATTGTGCATAAGAAAAACTTCGATTGGAGAAAGAAGCCAATCAACAAAATATTGTTAAATCCAGACGGGGGGGGATAAAGCAGAAATCCAAATGTCAGTAATAAGATCTCGAGAGTAAGTAGCTCAGCTCTCGAAGGCTCACGACGTGGCACTTGCATAAATCTTCCGAAACGCTTCCCAAACAGTCTTCATCTTCCTTCGTGTTTATCCTCTGACAGAAGTTTAGTGCTAGTCAGGAGGCACTCAGGGACAAACTGAAGAGTAGATTGATTAAATGTGCCATTAAAGGTCCAGTGTGTTTGGATTTAATCGGCATCTAGCCTGAGTTGCAACTCCACTCGCTTCCTTTTTTTCGAACGCGAGGAGAACCTACGGCCGGCCACGAAACTTCGAAAAGCGCCCTCTCTAAAGCCAGAGTTGGGTTTGTTCCGGTTCTGGGAAATGTATGTTACAACAACTGGACCTGTTTTAGTATTAACAGAAAACTGTTTATTTGGGGCTGATGTTCATTGTAGTAACCAGATTAAAGGGTGAACTTTGAACGAGGTCGATATATAGGATTTTAGGCATTCAATAGACGAACCTCGAAGCACAGTTGTGTGATTATACATTTAGATGTAATAGGTCCGATCGAGACTGTGATACACTGTTTAAGCATACGATTGGTCTAGGTTCTATAAATACTATATAAATAATAATGAAGTGTAAACAGATCAAAACCCCGTAGAGATTGGTCTGAGACGCAATAATTGACCAACATATATATTGTCGTGATAAACCCTAACAGAATCCATAGAGCTCGCACGGCGTGCCGATGTGGCGATTAGCCTTTCGGAGTTCCTATCTATTTTCTAGGTAGAAGAATTTCTTTCTATCTAAAAAGTGAGTTTTAAACACATTATTGGACAGCATTCATTAGTGTTGTTTTTCGCCGTGTTAACAGAGAGGTTTTCTTTAAAATTAAGAAGCAGTGGGAGCGGGTATGTACTTACTCCTCTCATGTTATTCACACGAATGATGTAACTTGATTCTTGTTATGTGCTTTACGCTCTCTTCCATAACGTTGGTATGTCCGGGTTTTCACAGGAAACTTGAAGCTTGGAGCACATTTGTGAAAAATTCACTGACATTCAACCCTAAGAGCGCATCCAGAAGGTTCTCGACGCTATACAGTCCTTTCCATATTGAGTCGTGTCGTCTCCTTGTAAGTTGTACTCAGTGGCTTTTTGGTGTTTGCGAATGACTGATATGTTCTGAAAGACGCAAATGCTCCGTGATTTTGGGGAACCGGTTTATATTCTCGCAGCCCTGTCAGTTCAACATTGGACAGTTTATGGTTATTTTTTATTATTAAACCGACCCACTCGAATCGCGCAAAACATTATCACAATCCCCGGATGGAAATCTGAACATTAAAGCTCCGATTAGAGTTATAATACACGGTCTGAAGAATGTTAACTAATCATTGTTGGCACATTAAAAGCTTATCCATACTGAAACCCAGATATAAACTATGATGGATTAGGATATCATGGGCTCGGTTGTTATTCAACAAAATAGGCCCAAATCCAAATTACAGTAAAAAGTATGTCAATAACGGCACCTTTATGTGTTTTAATAATCCTTTTACAAGAAATCGTTAAAATAGATAACGAACATGTGATAGTGTGAGAATTAAGTCACTGAAAATCTATTATACCAATATTCACACTATACTTGTGACAATCTAACTGAAAAATATCAATTACAAGAAAATCATACTTATTATATTTTTAGGAAAAACTACAGTGGAGATACTTCTCAAATTAAAAACCACTTAAACAAATTCAATTATCACATACCTTATCATGTATTTTTACTTTATAATCAAATTGTAAAGCA